CATTTTTCCATAAAATTAAAAAAAATCAAAAACGAAGAATTGACGTTCTAAACATGACTTCTAATAGGAAGGACTGTTACAGGGAAAAGCTAAACAGAAGGGGAGGAAAAAGACAAGTGACTGTGTGTGAGAATTTTTGGATGTGTATTTGTGTGTGAGCAGGTGCTTGTGTTTGAGTGTGTGTGTAACTCTGTGAGTGAAAGTGGGGTTCTGTTTTTGTTTCTGTGTGGGGATAGTTTGTGATTTTTATGGTCGTGTGTATATTTTGTGCTTTTGCGTATGTGCGACTAAGAATATATAAATGTGCTTGTGTAAATGTGTAAGAGGACTTTTGTTGTGTATGAATGTGTGTAAGTGTGCAAGTTTTGTGTGTTTTACTGTGTCTGTGTGTGAGCATTTGAGAGGGTTATATTTCTGTGTGAGACTTTTGATGTATATATATGTGTGTGTGTGTGTGTGTGTGTGTATGTTTCTCTGCATGAATTCGTGTGTGTGTGTGTCAGCATGCATATGTGTTTCTCTATGCACTGTGTATCATTTGAATTGTGTTTATGTGTGATTTCATTTCTACATGCTTGTCAGCATGTGTTTGCGTGTACCTGTTTGGATTCATCTTAGTGTGTATTTTACGTCTGTGCCACTTTGGCTGCTTTGTGTATGTATGTTAGAGTGTTGTGACACTATTGACTGCGTGTGGTATTATACAGCAGTGTCTGTATGTGTATGCACATGTGTTAGTGCATAGTGTATGTATTTTAGAGGATGGCATTATGTGACTGTGTGGATCTTTCCATAAAAGTAAAAATTCATATGAGTGAATGCACATGTATGGAACTGTGTATTGAAGTGAGAGGATGTCTGTCTGTGTTCATGTGTGTAAAAGTGTATTTATGAAGATGTGTGCACATGCACAGGTATGTGCATCAATGTATGCTTAAAAGGGTGGCTATGTTCTTATATATCTGAGCAAAACCCCATGCATGTGAGTGTGTCATGTATATATGAATCTGTGAGTGCTGTGTGTCTGTGTCTTGGAAATGTACAAATTCATGTTTGTCAGTGCATCTGTGTGTGTGAATTCCTCAATGCATGTAACAGTGTGTGACTTTTTGTCATTTGTGTATGTTTCTGTGTGAAAGTACACGTTGCTGTGTACATGTGTGTGTAAATGTCTACGTGTGGTGTCTGTAAACATGTGTGCACATTATATATTTCTCATATGTAAAAGGATGTCCATGTATGAGCATTTCAGTGTGAGAGTGCATCGCTGTGTATGGCTGTATGAATGTGTGATTGTGTGTGACTGTGTGTCAGTGTGAATCTCTGCATGCGTGTGTTGTGTGTGCCCATGAGTCCACATTGCCAGAGAACAGGGATGTCCAGAAGGAAGGGATAGACATGCTGTCTTTTTTTCTTTCTTTTTCTTTTTTTTTTTTTTTTTTGTGTGATATTAGAGGTTGAACCCAGGACCTTTGCCCCAAATAATGAGCCCAGATCGTTCTGTATCTTAAAACAAGAAATCACTAGGTTGCTGTTGTCATGGCTGGAGGTACACTCGTGGGCCTCCTGCCTCAGTTTCCCAGAGTGCCAAAATGACACGCGCGCACCGCACAACCAGCTGGAGATGTGCTGCTTTCTTTTTGCGCCTGCAATATTACTGGAATGAGCTCCGCGTATACTTCGACACTGCACGTGCCTAGGCCAAGATACGCGAATTTCCCTAGAAATTTTCCTGCAAGAAATCCGCGAAAGCACCAGCAGAAGCGCGGCAGTGGCGATTGCCTTCCACACGAGGGAGCCGCTGCGACATCTAAGCTGCACCCAAGTCCGCCTAAGTGCACCGTCCCGCCCAGAAAGCTCCCGCCCGGACTCAGGCAGGTCCCCGGCTCTGCGGACCCCCGCCCTGGGCACCGCTCTGGGCCGAGCCGCCGGCCACCGCGCGCTCGCGGATGGAGCTGGATGCGCTGCCCCGGCGGGGAGGCGGCTGAGCCGCGCGCACGGCCGGCCGCAGGCTGCCGCGCTCCGCGCGCCCCGGCCGCCCGCCCCCTGCCCGCGGCGACTTTTGCTCCGGGGGCGCCGCGCTAGGTGAGCGGAGGCTGCGGGCGGCAGCGGCCTTCCTGCGCGCCCGGAGCCGCAGGCTGAGCGCCGAGGCGCCGCAGCTCCTACTTCAGACAGACCCCAGAGTCAGGTGCTGCCCCTCCTGCAGGTAGGATTCCTCGGAACAGGCCCCCACTGACTGTTCGGGAAGCATCTTGCATTCGGCGCAGCTCGGGCGTCTGCGTTCCGCGCGGCCCGACACGGAGCCGGGAGCGCCAGGCTGCAGGGAGCCGACAGGTGCACAGGTGGGGGGCGCAGGGCCGGCGCTGCGGGCGCCTAGTGCTGAGCTTCGGGCGGCTGGTGCTCACTGTGGTGTGGCCGAGGCCGCTCCGGAGCTGGGCCTGCGGGAAGCCTGGATGCGCGGGTCGCACAGCTGTGTTGCTGACTGTGCCAGTCCCACTGAGGTCTCCCGGGAGCGGGGTGGGCTTTGATCCTTTTCAGGTGACAGTCGCCACTCACAGCAGTCAGGACTGACAGTCTTATTGGCGGGCTCTTCCTTACTTACCGATATAAACAGATGTATTCATATGCAAATAATACCTAATTCGTTTGATTAATCAGAGAGATACTGTTGGGATTGGGCAGTGTTCAGGTGTGTTTATTAGGATCTAACAAAGGGGCTCACACAGACCTGAAAGTCTGTTATCATAAGCAATTTGGAGAGAGGTGAGGTGCCAGTATGGCAGGGTTCCCTTGACATATTTTGCACTTTAGAAGTCTGGCACATCTGGGGGTTCAAATGATGTGTGTCCCGTTATTCTAACATACATACCCAATTTACCTTTTAAAAACGTATGTACCATAGTAAGAGCATACATTTTCCATGCTCAAAAACCTGCATTTGTGCTGTCTCAGTCAGTTAACCATAAAGGCTCCACCACTTTCTGCAGAGTCTGGGGGCCTGAATCCACCTCCTGCTGCCAGCCAATTTTCCAACATTCATTCTCACTCAACAGAAATAAGTCACACTATTTTCTTTCTGTTTCTTAAACATATCCTCCCAGACTGTAGCCTAGTGGGCATATGTTGCTTTATCTGATTAGAAGAAATGCCTGAAGTTTTCTACATGGTTTCTTTAAAACCCTGAGAGTCCAGATCCAGCACAGAGGGGGTTTTGTAGGTCAGTGTTGATTCCTGAGCTCCAAGCACAGTACCTCCCTCAAGCACATGCTCCAAAAACATGCTGAGTAAAATATCAAATTGACCATGCCCACTGTTCATAAACTGCATGAAATTTAACCATCAAGCAACACCACATTCTTTATGAGACACATGTCCATGGCACAGAGGTGGGCTCCAGAGAGCCCTTTAAGATGGGGTTGCATTGAATTTTCGATGCATAAAGCCCTCAGGGTTGGCCATACAGGTGTCACTCTGTCACAGGACAAACCTAGCACCATCAATTTGAATTAATCATTGGGCTAATGTGTGGTTATTGGTTCCTGGTAAACAAAGAGAGGATGAGAAAAAGAGAAAGTTATATGAGCCAGAAAAAGGATGGTGCCTTCAGGCAACCGTGGGAAAATCACTGTTGGTAAAGCTTAGTCTGTGTGTGTGTGTGTGTGTGTGTGTGTGTGCACGCATGCACATGCACATGCACATGTCTGTGTGCACATGTGTGCATGTGTAGGTATCTGGAAACATAAGCAAAAACTTGAGTGAAAGATCTCACACATTATGGAATGATGTTTGGAGGACATTTACTCTAACAGCAACTGGAGGTCTCCAAAGGTACTTAATCAAGTAAATAATATGATCCAGTTTACTTTCTAGGGGAGGAAAAACTGGCATCCATCACCCCACCCTTCCCAAATCTTCTAAGCATCATTCTATGCAGCCAACATTCTGGTCATCTGGGCAAGTCATCAATAACTGTCAAGGTTGTAAGGAGGCTGAAAAGTAACCATAATGGTTGATGTGATGTATCAGCTGGAGAAGTTTAGAAGTTCAACTAAAGGACTCAGCAGGGAGCCAGGTCCCTGCTGGTAAACACCCTCATCCTGTGGGGAGGAGGGAGGGAGATGGGAGTGCTGCACCTGGCTTAGGGCTGGCAGCCTGTTGCAGTGTCAGCAGGGGAAGAGAGGTTTGCCCTGCCCATTTTGCTCTTGCTGCTTTTGCTGTCTTCCCCCGCCACTAAGTGCTGCCCTGGTGCCAGCCACCCTGCCTTGGAGCCAGCTGCGTATGGACTGAAACCTCCACAAACTTTCCTTTCTTCATTTTTGGGTGTCATATATTGTGTCCCAGCAATGAGAGAAAAGTCACCAAAGTCTCAAAAGGCATAAATGGCACCTTAGCAACGCAATTCCATTGCACTCAGCTGGTTGTTTGGATACCTGTGATTGTTTAGATCTGAAATGCTCCAAAATATCTCATGTGTTCTGAAAGGGACTGCATCATGGGGGCACTGTGGATTACTTCATAGCTACACAAGCTGCCTAGGAGTTGGGGCCTGGCTGGATAGGGTGGGTCACACCAGACATGACCAGGTAGGTGTGTCTCCTTCCCAGGCTCCTGGGCTTCCTGGCTGCCAAGGCATGGGCAGTTTTACCCCTCCATGCCTCTGTGTCTTGGAGCCAGGCAACTATGGCTGAAACCAACAGTCAAAATAAACCTCTGCTCCTCTAAATTGTGAGAGTCATATATTTTGCCCCAGAGGTGACAAAGTGACTAAGACAATGCCTTATGTCAGTTCAGGTGTTTTCAAAACCTGAAGCATCCATGGCTCACAAAGGATACCTTCTCTTCTTCCTCCCGATGCTTTCCTTCCAGAGCCACCCAACAAATAAATCACATAACAATTCTCCAGGAGCAGCCAAGTGATCATAAGCTAAACTGGAACAAAAATGACCAAGAGCCAGGGACTTAAGAGATGACCTAACATGGATCCAAGCATGCAGGGTTACCTTGTGCTCCTAGAAAGGTAAAGTGAGTGTCGTGCTGCGAACAGGGTCAGCTTATTCCAGGGTCCAGCACTGTAGCAAGAAACAGAGAAAATGGGTGTCAGATATTGTGTCCCGGCCATGAGAGAACAGTAACCCAGGGGATAACAGATCCTCCAGACTGACCTTGTGTTTGTTTTCTTTTTTTGTACCAGGAATCGAACTCAGGACCTTGCACTTGCCAGGCAGGAACTGTGCCACTGAGCTGTATCCCCAGCCTCTGGATCAACTTTGACTGGTAATTGTAATGCATTGAGTATTTTTATGTAATTATTTATCCTGAAGTCCTAGCTTCTTTTTTTGTTATTTGCTGCCAATTTTAAAATTCTTTGGGCCGGGGGACGGGTTGTGTACTGCAGCTGGATGGTTCTGCAGGTGAGGAGATTGCTGGGACTACTCACCCAGGACCTGTTTTCCTCTCGTGATGTTTTATTTTATGCACCAAAGAATGTTTTGCAGGGTTGTGTTTCGATTCCTCTTTCTCTTGCAGTTATGTAGAGGATCTTCATTGTAGTTATCTTGAGGTTTGCATAAAATCTATTATAGCCATCATCACTCAGTTGTAAACTGATAGCAATTTAATTCCGATCACATGCACAAAAATCTTCAATTTCAGTTTTCCCTCCCTACATATTATGTTGGTGATGTCACAATTTACGTACATTATACATCAATTAATATGTTTTATGATTATATTCTTAATGCTTTTGTTTTGCAGCTTTTATAATAAAATTAAACATCATTTGCATACTATTATGAGTATAGTATCTATCTCTGATACATATATGTACAAATAAAGGTAAATATATATATATAAATTCATCTATATATATTTAGCAATAAAGGAATATATATTCATATTTATATATTCACCTTTAGCAGAGAGTTTTATAATTTAATATATTTTTATTCAGCTTCCTTTCATTTGAATTCAAGGACCCCTACCATTTCTTATTAGGTAGATTAGTGGCTGTGAATTCCATCAGCCTGTTTGTCTGTGAAGTCTCCCTCTCACTTATCTTAGGGCAGTTTTTCCAGATGCAGGGTTAGCACGCCCTGGGTGAGTAGTCTCTGCATTCTCCGGGCCCTGCAGAACCATCCCGGCTGCAGTACACGTCTGCCCCCTTTTTCTGATGCCGAGGCACAGGGAGGAGTTGTGGGGGTGCATGAGTTGTATGTGGACTGCCCTGTCTATGGCATTCTACCACAGAAGAGACCTGAGATGCAGATTTCCCCCCTTTTTGACAGATATCCCCTGCAGATTTATAGCTTCATTTGATTGTCTATATTTCTGTTTGGGGTGTGTGTGTGTGTGTGTGTGTGTGTGTGTGTGCGCGCGCGCGCGTGTGTGTGTGGGGGGTGTGTGCGCATGTGTCTGTGTGTGCGTGTGCACATGCATATGTGCATTATAAACATTAGTATAAATTTTCATTTCACCTGGAAAATTCTGTGGAGCTATCAGTTTAGCTCTAGATATGTAAATAAACTGAAAATACTATTTATGTTCAATGAAATGTGTCTCTAGAGAGATTTTAGTTGATTTGTGGAGACCTCCTGTGTTTACAAGAATTTTCTTATTTCCATTTTGCAGATTTCACCTTATGTCAAAATGCCATAACTCTTTCCTAATTTTACCCAGCAATATGAATGTGTTTGCTAAATAATATGAAACAGCTTTCAAGGACAGTATCTCAGTGCATTTACAACAATTTAAAATAATATATTTGCAGTCCTGAGTTAAATTCATTCTTTATAATTACTTTAATTCCTAGCAGTAATGACAAACTTTCCTTAATTCTATTGATCTTTATTTTAGGGTAAGGTCAGCTGTGCACTGTTCTTTTATCCTATACGGGCAGTTAAATTAAATTCCCACAAGCTCATGGCACTGTTCACAAAAAATAAATTGTTGAAAACACGGATGATAAAGCCCCTGAATTTTTCTAAATGATCATTGATATTTTATCCAGCTCAGCTCTACAAAACATTAATGACCTCATAATTTCATAAATACAAGAGAAAATATTTCTAAAGATTAAGAAAATATCTTTCTTTAGTGGGCTAAGAATTTTATCATAACCAAACCAACCATTTTTTTTCCAACCAAAACATCTGAAAGCTCATTTTTTTACTACCCTTCTTTAATATATGAATGTGATTATTTACACTAATGACCTTTATTTTTGTTTGGGAGTTAATACTTTTTGGGAAACGGACCTGTTTCCTTTCAGCCACGAAGAGAAAGACTGAAAAATGAGTGCCTACATGTTATTGTATAGCTTAAAATATATTTTATCATCATTATATATTTATGCTTTAATAAATCTTTAGTTGATTTACATCCATTTATGATCATGGTTCTATAACGGTTTTCTTAAAAATGTAATAGACTTAATTGTGAGCATTTTTGTTCCCAGAGCCCTGCTTTTAAGATTTTAATTAACATTAATTTCCTCTACTATCTATGAGTCTCCTTACAAAAGAGCTAGGCTGATTATTTCTAACATAATCATGCAACTCGGATAATTATAAAAATTATACTAAATTTAGTCACAAGAAAATATAAGATAGAAATAAAAATGAAAACAAATCAATAGAAAGGAAATAAATATATGCCAAGGGAACAGTCAAAGATTGGCTTTTTACTAGGTTTAGTAACGGTGATCAATCTCTTGTGAGATTCATTGAAGCAAATGAACACTCAGCTAACCAATATCTGGAATTAAAAATGCTAATTATTGCTGTTCTTACAGGGCTAAAAGATTACAGGGGTCTTCCATGAACAGTTTAGGACATTAAATATAGAAATGTACTAAAAAGGAAAACCTAAAGCTATCAAAAGTGAAAAAAAGAAGCAGGAGATATACACAGACTCATAGATTTGTTGCAAATTTTCCTAAGTGTCCTGTATTCAAAGTGCAAACGCAACATAGGTAGTCTACAGTATTAAAAGGCAGTAATTCCTTATAACCATGGAGGCTTTTTCTTCTGCTCTCTGGCCGTCTTATTTCCTCCATCCAGCAGCCATCTGTACCTAGCTAGCACTTTCTAAAGGCGATGGTGCTGCCGCACGCAGCCACCCGGCTCCTTCTGTTCACAGCTCTCTATAATACCTGCTTAAAAGTCTGGGAGAGGAAAAGGAACACGGTACGTGTTTATAAGGCTACTTTGCATTATAAAAATAAAAACAAGTGCACCACCAGAGACCTAAAATTCAAGTTAATTCTGTCCCTTTTTAACCCTGTGGATGCCGCATGCAGATGAAAGATACACATGACACAAGCTCCGAGGGGTGACACCCCCCCAGAAGCATAAAGAGGCCCCAAGATGTCAGCATTTAGATCTGACATTTCTCTCGCACCCCGTTTTTCTTCATTGGATTTTTTTCTGTTTTATGGAAATGAATCATATTCATTTCTGGTGTACTTAAGGCTATAAAATTGTCATTAAGATATAGCTTAAGGCACATGCTGTTTTAACATGCAGTTAAAATATATTTTGTAATGCAATCAAATACATTTCTAATTTTATTTGTGGTTTACACCACCACTTGAAGGCTATTTAGTGTAATGACCATAGCTTTTGTATCTTAAGCAATCACAATAGCTTTTTCCTAAGTTCTTTAAGCCGTGAATTAATGTATTTTTATCTATTTTCTATCAACACCCTGGATAGAAATACTATCACAATTGAAGCTATTTCACTTGGCTAGTAACTGAAAAATATCTAAGCACATCACTATGAACCAATAAAATTCTATTAATCACAAGAGTATAAATGCAGCTGAATCCTGACACAGAAAAGCTTCCAGATGATTCATTTAAATTTTTAGTGTATAGCTATGATATAGATAAATCAGTCTGTTACCTATAATCTATGTTATTTTGATCTTAAAATTAAGCAGCTACAGTATTAATTATACTTCTTTTTTATGTACTTACAGAAAGTAAGAGGTATCTTTAAATAACTTCTTTGTTGCGGTCCAGCTGCTCCTTCAGACTGACCGTGCATACCATTCCTCAGAGCAGCCCGCAGCCCTCCCTCTCCTGGAAGCAGAGCCCCTTTCCAGCCGCGTTCCCATGGTTACCACAATAATGAGGAGACAGACAATACTCCACAGAGCTGCCCGGTCTGACATCTAAACTACGGCTTAAGGAAACTTGATGCTTGAACATCATATTGAAATCAAGGTTTCTATCATTGTGAGGTACATAGGCTTCACTCACTGCCTCTCCAGCCCCGGGGATTACCAGTCACCCTACAGACATTTTACAACTGTGCTTGCTTAGCAGAAGGGGAGGACCTACAGGAAAGCATCTAGTCAGAGATTCTTTAGGGGGTTCTGCAATAGAAAAGACACGCAGCTCTGGTCCTTTGACGAGCACAGGTCCAATAATTTTATAAAAAATGATCTCACTGAAAACTGACAGCAAACCTGTGAAGCAGTCACTATTACAGCTACGATTATGCTGCTATTATTATGCCTGTTGTTTTCCAGGTGCGATGAAAAAAATGATCATTAATGCACACAAAGCTCACGTCTTGGCAAGGCTGTGAAACAGCGACCCTGATTCTAGACACGTTCATTAAATCCCTGCCTCCAGGCTTGCTCCCCTAGGGCCTGCACATTCCTTCTGCAGCGTGTGTGTGTGTGTGTGTGTGTGTGTGTGTGTGTGTGTGTGTGTGCGCGCGCGCGCGCACTGAGGAGAGCGGCTCCCACCCCACTCACTGTGTGCTCCTTAAAGGAGGATGTGTTAACCACGCGGGGTGGGCTCAGCAGCCTGCGCTGTTTGGAAGGAAAGGCCTCATGAGGGGCGTGTGGATTTTTTCCACCCAGCCCTGCAGCCTGCTTCTGAATGCATCTCGCCTCACATTGCACTGCTGGGCTGTCACAGGCTCAGCTCCGCGATGCCCTACTGCCCCTCCCCCTCCGTGCACACCGTGCCCCAGTGACCTGAATCTCAGCACAGCTGATCAGAAGGAGCTGTTTCCCTCGCTACACTTAGACCCCCAAATGCAGCCCAGCCAGGGACCCCTCCCTACCAAATGGCCAGACACCGCCTGAAACATCAGTGTCCCCCAAGTAGAATAGGAATAAAAGGCAAACAGAAAATTATTTGAAAGTAGCAGTTTGCTTAACAGAGGAAATATTTGCATATTTCTCCCACGAGGCACTTTCCAATATTCCCTATTGTTTGATCTCACACAGTCTTTAAAATCGTAAGATATGAGTTCACATTAAAATATTATATATGAAATATTCCCACTATCAAACCACAAAATAGAGTCACCATGAGATGAGAAGCCATGAATATAATTCAGCATCCTACAGGTGCTGATTCAAAAGCAAACATTGCCAGGTCCACACCTTCCATCTTTGTTCAGGCTAAGATATATTCTACTTTGCAGTTTCTTTGTTTTGAGGAGACAGAATGGCCAAATACTGTATTAAATTTCACTGGCCAGAGCAGCAGTTATGTATTATTTGAGTATTTAAATTTATAATCATAATTTATAGTTTAAATTTATAATTGTAAATTAAAATTTATAACTGAAAAATAAAAAGGCTGGGGATTTAGCTCAGCGGCATAAGCACTTGCCTGGCAAGCATGAGGTCGTGAGTTCAATCTCCAGTACAAAAAATAATTCATATCCTCCATCACTCTGAATTTATATTAGCTGCTTGACAGCTTTAGGGGTCTGTAGGCTACACTTTTGGACAGCCCACATAACAATTCTCTACAGGAAATTATATGAGACAGGGCTAGTGTACAAAAGGAGGGTGAAGCATGGTTTAGATACAATGCCAAGGATGCCTTACCATTACAGAATAATAGATCTACAAGTATTCTGGATTCTTATGTTTGTGAATCTGTAGAGGGCTTGGTATATAAACTTTAGTTCTGTGCTTCAAGTTTTTACCTGCAAAAAATCAGTAGGGCTGTCAAAAGAAGCCTTATCAGCCCACAGATTTAGAAAAGAAAAACAAGGCTCTTATCCCAGAGAATTCAAGCATGTCAGGTTTTGTAAAAGCTTGCATTCCAATTACAAAATATAATAGCTGTGTAAAGGAGAAACTTACAAAATCACCACAATTTCCTAAATTCATGATGGGAAAACAGTAAATGATCAACAAATTTAAAAATTTTGCCTTTTAAAACTATTGCACTTTCTGCCTCTCATATTGTTGAAGTTCCTTTAATATATTAAAGTTTCCTTAATTTTTTTTAAAAAAAGCTTTTCACTTTATTGTACAACTTTAATTCACAGGCTAATCAATCTTTAATGTTATAAATGCTATTACTATAAAATATTTAGCTGTCATTTATTCTGAAATATAGAGAGAAGAAAAAGAAGAGAACAAAATAAAGTTGCTTTTCCGTGTTGCATTGTGGCCCATTTCCCTTTCTAAATAACTTGTTAAACCCAATGTCTCATCTTTAAATTATTCCCAGTTTTTACTTATTTTCATCAATAATTTCTCTCCATTGCTAAACTCTTCCATGTATTTGCTTCCCCTATTGACTTACTCAGGTCATCAAACAATAAATATGGCTTTTTGCTTCTTATTTATTCAGAGGAAAAGCTCCAAAAGCTTTTATTTGGAGAAATATTTAAATTACATATGTAATTTATTTCATAGTTCTTTGTTTATATTTTTGTATTTGCACCTGAATTTTTTATTAATAGATTATTTCTAGCTATATACCCATACAGCAGTTTGCTTAACAGAGGAAATACCTGCATATTTCTCTCAAGAGGCACTTTGCAATATTCCCTGATGTCTGGTCTCATACAGTCTTTCAAATCTTAAGATATGAGTTTACATTAAAATATTATATATGAAATATTCCCACTATTTAACTAGAAGATAGAGTCATGATGAGATGAAAAACTATGAACACAATTCAGAACCCTATAGGTGCTGACATGAAATTTATGTTTAACCAAACCTACATTCTTATAGTTCCTCAAAATTTTCACTATTATTAATTATTGGTATCAGTTTTAAATATTTTAATCTTAGTTACTGACATTTCTTTATGTTTTCTTTGGTAATTTACACCAGAAATTTATCAATTTAAATAACCCTTTTAAAGGATTTTGCTTAATATATTTCCTTTTTAATTTTTATTTTTCCTTAATTTGCTGCTTTTCATATCTTTATTATTTGTAATTTGCTTCTTTGCTTAGGATTTTTTTAACTTGCTTCATTAATTTGGGTTTGATAATTGTATCATAAATATTTACATTTTATTCTACTCTAAAATAAAAATTTAGTCTTCACAATTCCTTCTAAGATGTAGCTTATTTAAGTAAACAAAATTCTATTCTTTGGAATAAAACAGTAAGTTAACTATTCGAAATTTTATAATTTTCAAAAACCATATTAAGAAGATGAACGAAGAAAACATGACCACTTCTCAAAAATACAGAAAACTACAAGATAAAATTCAGTTTGCTTTCATAGTAAATGCTTTTAGCAAACTAAAAATACAAGCAAAATTTTCAATCTAATAAACAACATTTGCAAAGCAAAAAATATACTCACATGTGTGGAACTTCAAGCTCAGCACTTGCAGGGAACATTGCAGAGAATATGTAAAGACAGCCTGTTCTGTCACAGTACAGCACAGCTCTGGGTGATAGGAAGGGGAATAAAGAGCTCCATGAATGAAACCAGTGAGGAAAATACAAATCCTGGGTCACAATGGGGGCAGGGGTTTATTAAGGCAGAAAGGATGAAAGGATGCCATGGCTTCTACACCTGGGAGGGTCACTAGAAATTACGACAGAGGAAGGCATCTGAAAGACACAAACCAGGCTCAAACCAGAAAGGCTCCCAGTTAAATCTTGCTGGTGAAAAGCATATTCAGCTTAAACCATAGAATTTCAAGAACACAAAGACCAAGAAAATTGCTCTCTTGTCAACAAAACAAAACATGAATGACTTCCAGCACTGAAGGCTATGGATTAAAACAAAGTAGGCATGAGTGGACAGAACAGGGAATGAATGAGGGGAGGCATTTATATTTATGGATGAAATGTTTCAGAAGCTGCAGGATGAATGGCTAAACCAAGAGGGAAACAAGGATTCTGATTTTTATAAACACATGAAAAATAAATAAAATATGCATGACAGAAACCAGATGAGATTCAATTAACATCTCATCCTGTAGTGGGTGTAGGGAGATTAAGGGCTGCTAAGAGCAGTGAGGCAATGGCTGAAGCCAGAGAAGGGGGGTTCCTGTGGCCATTGTTCTCCTGAACAAAAGATATGTCGCATTGCTCATCAGAACCGCAACCCACTAATACGTAAGTGGTGTTCACACAGGAAGTGTTCGCCATGCTACTTCCTCTAATATGGAAGTAGGAACAAATAATCATTGGGATCTGGATGCTAAGGGGAAGGAAAAAAATATTACACTTTTTCTTTTTTTTTCTAGAAACTTCGGGATTCGAGCTAAAGCTTCGGAAATCAAGCCCCATAAAAGAATGGATAGAAGAACAAATCTGAGAGCCTCCTTAGGTGCTAGAATTGCTATGGGAGATGCTACAGCTCCCTCTACTGCCCAGGGGGATGCGGGTGCCAAGGCAGGTGCTGAGGGGGAGGGGGAGGAGGAGTCTCCACCCAGCCATCCCGGACTTGGGTCCTCCATGGGGTCTGAAGAGTCAATCTCAGCCTCTCAGCACTTGGCGGCAGGTCCGGCACCTCTCCGTGTGGCCATGAGTCCTGTACAGCCCCTCACAAGTGGCTCCCGGCCTGCCCAGGCCTCAGGGGGCGGGGCCAGGCCCAATCCTGTGCAGGAGTGGAGCAGTGGCAGCTGGACCAAGCAAATCCTCTGCAGGTATTATCTGCACGGGCAGTGCAAGGAGGAGGAGAACTGTCCCTACTCCCATGATCTTGCTAGGCGGCAGATGGTCAGGGAGCGCTATGGTCTGCAACCTCAGGCCTCTGCAGACAGAGAGCCCAGTGCATCTGTGCAGAGTGAGCCCCCAGTTCAGGAAGAGCCAGAAGCTCCCCCTGCTGCATCCTCAAGCTCCTTGCCTCTGATTGGCTCAGCTGCTGAAAGGGGTGTCTTTGAAGTGGAGAGAGGCAGTGCAGGGCTTGAAGCTGCTGGAGGAGCAGCAGGTGCATCAGGGTGGGTAGGTGCCATGGAGTTTGTTCCTGGGCAACACTACCGAGGTCAAATGGGCCCTGCACAGACCCCTTGGCCTCCTCTACCAAGCCCAGTGATTGTAAGAGGGCAGATGCCTGTGGGCATGTGGATGCCACTTTGCCGCTATGCTGCCAGGGGTCTTTGCTTTTATGGGGAGAGATGTTTGTACCTCCACGGTGATGTATGTGACATGTGTGGGCTGCAGGCCTTGCACCCTTTTGATGCTCTCCAGAGAGAAGCCCATATAAGGGCCTGCATTGCAGCACACGAAAGGGATATGGAACTCTCGTTTGCTGTGCAGCGCAGTGTGGACAAGGTGTGCGGCATCTGCATGGAGGTTGTCTATGAGAAAATTGAGCCCAGTGAACGTCGATTTGGCATTCTTTATGGCTGCAACCACACCTACTGTCTTACCTGTATTCGCACATGGAGAAGTGGCACTCAGTTTACAAACAGGATCAGTAAGTCCTGTCCACAGTGCAGGGTCTCTTCCAGCTTTGTTATTCCCAGTGTGTTCTGGGTAGAGGATGAGGATGAGAAGGAGAAGCTTATTCAGGAATATAAAGAGTCAATGAGAAACAAGCCTTGCATGTACTTTGCTGAAGGGAGAGGTCACTGTCCATTTGGAGATAATTGCTTCTACAAACATGAGTATCCTCAGGGCTGGAGAGGGCAGTATCCCAGGCCAGGTGGTGGATCATCCAGTGCATACTGGCATCAAGTTTTGGAGCCCATGCAGGTGCGAGACAGGAGCAGGCTTTTTAAGAGCGGTAAGAAGGAGCTTTTTACACTTCAGCTGGCAAATCTGTTGTTTAAGAAGTTTCTTGCCCTGAGAAATGGTGTTCCTTTCTCTGATGATCAGTGGCTCTTGTTCTGTTATCAGCTGGAAGAATATTTCAGATTGAGTCTGTAGTATCATGCTATGGCACGTGGTCTGATCTCCTGAGGCTGTGTGGTCTTCTGTTGCCTGTTCTTTCTTTATTGACTGGCGTGTGTTACTTTCAGGATTATTGAGGCAATGTTTATTCAGTGTTTCTCTGTTTTCCTCTTCTCCCTTTATTGACTCACACATATAATGCTTTCAGGGCTATTAAGGCAATCTTTATGCAGTGTTTCTCTCTGTTTTCTTGTGTTTCCCCCTGTATTCTCTCTATAGCATTATGATGTTTTGCTGTGTTAAAAACAAAACGTATTTTGTTAAAACTACTGTTGAGTGAAATTAATATTGTTACCAGTTGATGGCTTGTTTTGTCATGTCTGTTTTCAAACGTCCACTCAGTTCTAGCCTAGTGTTTACAGAATTTCCACATTCATTGTGAAATCCCTCAAGAATAAATGTGACGGTGAAACATGTCTTAACTAAATTATAAGCTTTTGCTACAATAGCCTTAAAGACTGGATCATTTCAGGTCCTTGCAGCTGTTGTTTGTTTACATGCCTGTTTTTTCCTCCTTCAAGTGCACTTGTAAACTTGTGGTTATAGTGTGATTTTTGCTGTAATTGACCAAAACAAGCGCATATGTTTACATGTTTTTATCCTCTTTAGCTTAATGTGAAATTATTTATATTTGGAAGTATATATTTGAGAATGGCGTATGCATATATGTGGATAAAAGTTATGTATTTGAAAAATATTAAAAGAATATATATGCCATAATATATATGTTTGTGTAATTAAAATAAATGCAGAGTTAAAGCTTAAGATTAAAGACTAGCAGTGTGGGCTGTTGTGTGAGTATTGTGGATACCTTCTTTGCTTCTGTGCAGATATCTGTGACTAACAGGTACTCAAATTGTCTTTAGCCAAATGCACCAGACACAGATCTTAAAGGACATAGAAATGACCTTGCCAATTTCTGTGACACAAACAGAGATCTCTGCCATTATAAATACAAAAATGTTTGTTCCAGTGCAGCAAATCTTGTGGTCAGATACACAATTGTTTGCATTCAACATTTTAGAAATGTCTATCAAATCATCAGTTTCTAAATTTTACAAGGAGGGAGAATTTGGCAAAATTTTCATTATAAAATAAACAAGATTATACAAGGGCAAAAATAAAAATACCAAAACAAGAATAAAAGAATTTCCATTCTGTATTTTCCATTTTGTATTTTTCCAAATACAAAAAAGATATATAGACACATAAGCCCAATAAAATATTAACCTAGAAAATTCATAAAAATTTATTTAACCATAATTTGATTAAATAAAAGTATTTAAAACTAAAATCAAAAGGTTTTCAAGCTTTCCTAAAATACAATGAAATAATCTATTTTATGTTTTATTTTCTTTTAAAGATAAAAAAGAAAAAAACAAAAAAATCAGGAAGCAAACAAACCTAAAAACAACAAAAGTAAAATGATAACAACAATAAAAAGCAATAGCTAGAGAGGTTTTCAAAACAAGATGACAGGAATTCAGTGATAATTGTTATTCTGAATATTGTTATCTTCAAATCTGTTGTTCAGGTTACCAAGTACAGGAATAAAACAAAACCAAACAAAACATTGGATTTCAAGAACCAGACAGAAGAAAATACCCCATGGTTGCCACAATGCACACTGCCATCCTCCAAAAAGATGCCCAGATCAGCAGCTCCAATTTATTTTAAATGCACATGTAGGGACCAGGACATAGCTTAACATCACAGTGCCTGCCTGGCAAGCACAAGGTCCTGAGTTTGATTCCAGGAAGTATATATTTGCAAATTTGATCCTTCACCCACAAAAAGAAAAAGAAAAAAATAAATGCACGTGTACAGTATAAAAATATAAAAGCATTAAAACTAGATGAGAAAAATTAACAAGATAGTTACGTGACTCTATCAGAGACAAAGTTTATATGAAGGATAAACATTTCTGGAAATAAATAGAAATGATATTTAAACATTGAATTAGGGCTGGGGATGTAGCCCAGTGCTATAGTCCTGTGTTCTATGCTCAGCAACACATAAAAACCTTAAATTATAATTCATCTGGAACATGTAACTATTCAAGTTTTGTGCTCTTAATAACATCACACCACATACACAAATTAATGTGACAAAACAGAAAAACAAAACTTCAGTTCCCTAGTGAACAATTTCAATGAATCTTTTGATAATTGAGTAAGCAAGGAAAGACTGTAAGAGAATTGCACAATACAGTTTGACTCACTTACTGACCCACTGCAGAACACTGTGCATCTGTGGAATGCGCTTCCTTTACTGGTAGCTGAAAATGCGCTGGGGATCTGGGTGCCGGGACGTTCTGACTGCTCTGGCGCTCGCCAGCAACACTGGCACATTTACAGAATTAAACCACTTACCCCACACACTTCAAAGTATTGATTTAATTGTTCACACTGCTGTATGTGGTGCTTGATACAGTGTTTTCTCATGCTGATGAGGAAGACAACAGTGTAGCAAGTTTTCTTTGCCCTTACATGACCCGTGAGTATAGATTGCTGGGAGGAATGAAGCTCAGATAGTTGGTTTCCACGATACTTGAGGTTCCCTCTGCCGTCTCTACCCCAAACACATGTGTGGGAACAGGAGGGGCAGCTAAGTAAGCTGTACGCAGAGCCTTCAAGCATGAGTGTTCCAGGTAGCTGGGGCACAAGGGTGATAAATAAGCTTCCACTAAATGACAGGGATTGGAACTTTGGTCTGTATTCTGCCAGACTCCAGGTTTCAGTGGCCTGTCCCTTGGCCCCCACATTTTTATACGGCCTCTCCTTTATATAAATCCTAGATCACCATGTAAGAACCCCAGGATGTTACCCTGGGATTTCTGCCCTATTCCTTACATCCTGTTATTCAAATAATTTACCAATCAAGAGGTCCTGGACACCTGCATGATTCTCATTCCAGCAAGGTAAATAGATCCCAGATGAGCCCAAAAATTGGGACCAGGTAGGGCACTTTGAAAGACTGTTGATAGTAGAGTCTCAGAAGAGCATTTTGAGCTGAGCCTGGAAAGCTCTGGACACCTCCTAATGTGCACTGCCCAATCACATGAAATATCAGATTTTTATTCTAATGGTTTCTTAAACTATGTGGTCATAATGAAATTAGAGGAATACAATGGAATAAGGATAAATATAAAACATGTCTTTGAAGACATAGACAGATAATTAAAACCCAGAATCTGTTTCTCATCATCATTCATTCTAAGTAAAAATTTAAAATGTTCTATGCCTCAGTTTGTTCATCTGAGAAATGGGTATAATGCCACCTGTTTTTGCAGAACTATGGTGAGGAACAACTATAGTAATGACAAAAGTTCTAAATAGCCTGTATCTTTAAAGTGGCATGTATCAAAGTGGAATCTCTGTGTATTTATGGAGCTCAGTACGGAAGAATTCGTACTCAAGTTTTTTTTCTGAGTTCTTGGAATTTGTGCTAAGTAGCATTATCATTTTATGGTTATTTTGATTGACAAGGAGTACAGTACATAGTAATCTCATAATTTCAAAAAGATAGTGTTTTTTCAGCAAAAATCACATAAGCTAGACATTTGTTATTCAATTACTTTAAATATTTAAACAGAAATATAAACTATGCAAAAGAAATATGCATCATTTGTGGAAGACAAATGTTTGAGAAGAACAAATAAGGCTATATTTTTTAAATGGGATTTTTTGTTCTCTTATTGCTTGCTCGGGAAGAGCTCATGTAACAGATGTCTCTGTCTCCAGCACCGGATGAGGTGTTAGCATCTGCTCTCCTGTCCACAGGGGCTGTGCCTGCTGCGGTGAGGAACAAAAGCGCCTGGCCACACAAAGGCATTCTTTAGGAGTGTCGCAGGGTGAGCAGCGCCTGACCCACAAGGATTCACAGGACAGCCCAGCTCCGTACGCCCGTGGCATTCCAATTACAACAGAAAAGCCCTGCCATCCACTGGAGTGGCTTATGCTTTGTGCATCTGCATTGGGTGGATGGCAAGCATCTGAACATAATGGAAGAAATTCACCCAGCGGTCACACTCAGAGATGCTGAAGCCGCTCTATCTCACGCTCACATGTCATGAAACCAATTTACTGAATTTCACTGACTTAAAGGGAAATATTCCCAGAGCACAATTAGTGCCAATATGCTCTTTTATCTTGCTTGTTTCATAAACAGCTTGAGAATGTGGCTTCTATTTCCCCAGCCAAAGACAAACTGGAGCTCACTGTGGAACGGGATGGAGGTGGGGCTGAGAAGGGTAGTGATCGGAGGAAAATCCAGCATCAGTGCAAAAAGTATATCAGTACATGTCAAAATTTTCTGCATGAAGACATGTAGTATTACGTTTTTCAGTATTGACTGAACACTTACCTTTTTGTTAACTTTTTTAACTGACCATAAAGCAAACCACAGTGAAGCTGTTCATTAACTTGAGAAATTAAAAAAAAATGCATAACACTTTCTGATGTCAATACCAAAAGGTCATTACCAGTGATAAAAGACTGAATTCAAACTCATTTACCAGAGTAGACTATAATTACCAGAATTACCATATTATAGCTCACAGAATACTACCGGGTCTGTATGCACAATGAAACACTCCATTTTAAAGGCTAATAGGTATTGTCTAGGAGAAATCAGTACAATTAAATAAATATCTCTGAAAATTCATAAAAGACTGCAGCATGAACTACACACATCCAACTCTGCTAAGCAGAAGGAATTAAGGAAGATTAAAGCAAAAATTAGTAGATCAGGCAGTGGAAATATGAAGGCTGATCTGTAAGAAAAAAGATAGAAAAAATACTAATTTAATAAAAGTCATGATAAATTTTAATTAAGCAAAAATTAAACAAATAGAAATGAAAAGAAATCGCTGTACCTGAGACAAACCTGAAAATATAAAGGAAATTTAAAATTTTCATCATAAATATGGTTTCTCAAACATCATTCCAAAAGACAAAGGTCAATGTATACAAACC